CCACTTCTGATTTCAGAAGCTTCCAACGTGACAAGTGGCGCTCGTGCATGCAGTGCTTGGTGCGTTTTTAATGGCTCTGCGAATGACGTGATGTGCATTAATTGCGATTTGACAGCTAATTTGGAGAGTTAATTTTCGAGGCCTTACATNGCCTAATAAGAGGACAAAATTCGTTGCTTCTATTAACAACATATCTTTCAATCTCTCTTCGGTAGCAATTCTTGAACAACATTTCTTAGAGAAGGAGGGGTGTTGTGCCTCCTTTTGCTATATGTGCAAGTGTAAGAGCGTCGAGGTGTAGGGGTGTAAGGAAATTTAGGGTTTTAGAAAAGGTAAATAAAAATAAATGATAAAATTAAATTAATATAGAGTATTTTTGGAATAAAAATAATGAGAGGTGTATATTATATCATTTAAAGTGTGCACTTTTATTATTTCTTTTGTTTTGATTCTTATTTTTTTTGGTTTTGTTTTCTGGGTAGGTTTCCTTTACACATATTATTCTTATAAGTTTGTTATAAAAATAAAATAAGAATTATAAAATAAAAAGATAAAAAAAATAGAAAATGAAAAAAAGAGTAAAACTACAAAATTGTAAAAATAGTTTTAATTTTTTTTTTAACACTTAATATCTTTTAATAACTAAATGCAGCTTTAATTTATTTTCTAATTTAGACTTTCTTAAAAAATGCGTATGCAAATATTATTTTTATTTTATTTTAGGTACTTAGATAAATATCATTGTTGCTTCATATTAAACCCTTATGTAAATACAATTATTTTTTATAATCTTATTTTAAATATTTATGTAAATATTATTTTCATAATAAAATATTATCATCCTAATATTTAATTCCTTCAATCTAAAAATTAAATAATGGTATAATTATTCGTGTGATCATATGTATCCGTCTAGTATTTAATAACCTAAATCTAAAAAATTAAATAATAATACAATACTCGTGTCATGGTTAACATTACTCATTATCTTTTTTTTTCTAAAAATACCAAATATAAAATCTTTAAAAACTAAAATCATTCATATTTTCAAACAAACAAACAACTTTTTAATTTGAACTACATGATCTTTGATTGTCCATCAAGAATGGAAATAAATAGGAGTTAGGTTAGTCTTTATCAAATTTATTTTCCAAAAATCTAAATTTATCCATAATGATTTCCAAACAAAAACAAACTTTCCAAACAGTTTGTTCAAGAACTACTTAATATTTTAAATGAGAATAGATCGGCCCAAAAAACTAAAAGATATATTTTGTTATTTTAGAGTATCGTTTTGGGAGATAATTGAACATTTTAAAAACCATATTACCTTAGCTTCGCGTATTTAATTAAGGGTGATAGGATACTAGTATCTTTACTACGCGTAACATATTACTTCCGAACCTAGAATATGATTTTCTGCATAGCATGTCTATTTTTATAGTTTTTTAACAGTTTTTAAAAATAAATTACGGTGATGAGTTCAAAATCTTTTTTTTCTAAACTATTTCTTTTTCATCTTTTCATCACGATTCTAATTGCGACACCGTCTAATGTGTCAATGTAGTTCATGCAAAGCTGTAAACATGTCTGGGTTGTGGTCTGACCAAGTTGTGGTCAGACTGGGTTGATGAGTTGTTAAGTGTCGGGTTGTTTATCTTTACTTCATAAGCTTGAACCAATTCGATCATTGTCGGTGGAGCTCGGTTTTATCTAAGAAGGGCTCTGATGTTGTTTGTGAAGCTTGATCTTCATATGGGACGTGCTCGAATGTTGTTGGTGGAACTCAGTCTTTATCTAGGAAGAGCTAAGATGTTGTTGGCGGAGCTCGACCAATACTTATAACTCGGTCTTTCTCATATTAGCTCGGAAGATATCATCAAATATTTGAGTTCGGTGTTCATACCTAACTAAATAAATTTCATATCTATTAAATAATATAATTCGTTGTCTCCGATGATACCATTTTCATGTTTGATTCTGTTGCTTTATTTTCCAAGTTATAACAAACATATTATCTTTTTGTTTATTCTTTTTTTTTACTCTGATATTTGATGAAGTTGATTGGAAGATATATAACAACCTAAGGTATAATAACCTCTTCTGTATCTTTTTTTTTTTATCTCATAGCATTTGTCACTTACTTAAAATATGATTCTTGTACCATGTATGCATGATGTACTGATAAGAACTCCGAAAGTGATAATATATATATATATATATATATATATATATATATATAGTCCTAGTTGAACTTTTCAGACCAGTTCCATAGCGGCTATATTGTCGGCCTCATTTGAACAACCCTCGTTGTCTTCTAACTTGTCGACCTTAGTTCAACAACTTTTGTGTGTCGCCTACCTTGTTAGTCTCTATTAAACAACTTATGTGTGCTTCCTACCTTGTGGTCTAAGTTGAACAAACTCTCATATTTGTATACAACCTCCCTTATTTTAGGCCCAAATGAGTAAAAGTGATTTTTTTTCCAGCTGTCATTTAGGAATTGTATTAAGCAAGGTTATGCTCGACTACATATCCATTAGTCGAAAAACACAAGTTATAAAAGGTAAAAGGAAAGAGACGAGTACTAGTACTGAACAAAAGACAACTTCCAAGCAACTATTCACCAATCACATCTAATTAGACCTTACATACCATCATTCAAACCTCTTCGTCGCTACACTTCTCAAGGTTGGGGGCTACTATACCTGTAAGGTTACAACCAAAGATAAATTTTCTTTGTAAAACTTTGCTTGACGACTATCGAATATCGTATCATGGTTTTGAAAGTCAGATAAGGACTAACTGCTACTATTTTACTAAAGTTCTTTACATGTCTTCAATTCATGACAAAATTGGGGTTGTTGTACTGTACATGGTCGAGTACCCTTCATCCTTATCAACATTAATCTCTTTCTGCTATAACTTAATGCAAAACCAGCTGAGTGCCATGCCTAAGGCTGATACTACTTGCCCAAGGTTAACACTGTCATTTGTGGTCATATGTCGGCATGCGAGGGTAGTGCTACCTCCTGAAGGTTTACGTGTTGCCTATTAAGGGCTATGTGCCACATGTAGACAGGCCAAGTACTACCTACCGACAGGTTCATCACTAACCAAAATCCATTAATTACCGAAGGCCTTTTGGCCGTCGATAATATCGATTTCCGAAGGCTTTACCGAGGGGCATGTGAGGTGGTATTACCGAAGGATTGTGACCCGTCGATAATGGTTTGAGTGATTTTTACCCGAAGGTTACTACCGTCGGTATAAGCATCGACTTATGAAATGCCGAATTTGGGATTTCCCTCTCCCATTGTCCCAAATTGTTTTCGTGCAGTCTTTCCTTTCTCCCCATTACCCAAACTTTTCTTTCTTCGAACACTACTTCCCTTTCTTCTTTCCCCAATCCAATTAGTCTGAGAAAAAATTGTTCCTCCTTTGCTCCCAATGGAACATTAGCTATCTTCCTTCGTCGATTGGTCGTGTGAGGTGAGGCTTGGATGCTGGTTCGTTTGGTGTGCTGTTGCTACGAGAGGCTGGGTGGTGTGTTTCTCTCATCTTCATTAGGGGTTTTCGTTGACGGCTATTCTACTGTAGAGGCTTACTTGCTGCCTTTTGTGCCACTGTCGAGGAGGCTATGTTGGAGGGAGGGTGTGGACAATCCCTGCGGTGGAGGTTTTGTGTTGCGTTTCTTTCCCTGCCGTCAAGGTAAGTAGGTTTCTTATTGAACCTGAATGTGTTTAGCCCCTATTCTTCGTAAGAGGGTGTTTAATGATTAATATTTGTTGGTGTTACGTTTTGCTAATGTAATTTGTCCCATATTCTACAAGTGTTTTACAGTGGTTTTGATAAGGGGCCTGATTCACATACGTTTCAGAAGGTTCCAACACAGTGGGTTAAAGCTGGTTGCAAAAGGGCTGCACTGAAGTGTCCAACAGTTATCATTTACAGGTAGGTAAAGTTCATCCTGTTGTGTTTGCCATTCTCATTGTGTTGTGTTAATTGCCTTATGACCTGAAGCCCATTATAATTGAATTTGGATTGTTTAGTTTTTGTCCAATTTTGAAGCAATAAGAGCCTGTATGAAATTGTCTATTTGATCATATCCTTGCGTAGGAAATAAATTTGCAATTTAGGATCCAAGTGCTATGACTGAACTGCAACTTTACTGATCCTTTCTTGTTTTTTTCCTGAATTTGTATTATCACATGGCCCTTCTAATACAGCTGTTGATCAGGGAAATTTGAGATACATAGGGCTGGATTGCCGAAAAACGATAGAGAGTATTTATAAAATTTGTAGCCGTCATTTGGAACAACCCGGACCTTCAAAGACTGAATGAAATTTGAACTCAGATATGAACTGAGCTCATCGGAACTTGTATACTTCCTGTGAAATTGTTCCAGATATCTCCAGTTTTTTAATCATATTCTTCAGGTTCTCGATATCTCCCTAGGAAGCCACCTATCAGGCCCAATTAGCACTTAGATTTAGAACATACATCAACTCCCACCAGTTTCTCCAATTGATCTAGAATGCGCCCTCCAAACATGTTTCCCCCCTAAGTTGTAAAATCATCTGAGCCTTTCAATTCTGACAAGATGCGGGAATACCACCATCAAAATTATTCTCCGATGAGAATTATAGTATTTAATTCAGTCCAATTCCGAAAATTTGATGGAGAACGAACCATTCACTACAAATTGAATCCAACATCAAGAGTTGTCATTTTTGTTATAGTGTTGACAATCGATGTGGCAAAGGGCCTTTCAAAGTATTGTGAGAAAGAACCAATGTGAACAGAATTCACAAGGTTTCCACTTGAGGCGTACAAGACCTATCAAGCTGTTCACGGATAACATCTAAAAGAGAATAGTTTGTGAAGTTTCCAAAACTTGATGGAATTTCTCCCACTGATATTGTTGTTGTTGATGTTCATAGAAGGAGATTTGGGTTAGTTTCAAAATCTGGACGTGCCCCAGCGACAGTTGTTTCCTTCAAGTCCTGAGGCCTTTCAAGAGTTGTGCATCTTCAAGATCAGGTGGTATGCTTGCCATAAAACTTATTTGTTCACTTAAAACTGGCAAAGAACACTGAAGATCAACTCATTATATTAATACCATCCCACGAAACAATGGCAAAATCATCTGTACCTCACAAAGGCACCCAGTGGGTGTGGCATACAAAATGCTCTAAACTTTGACTCTCAACACAACATTTCAGATGTATTGATACAGAAAATTAATTATAATAAAAGTGTCTTCAAATAAGGTCAGGTAAACAAGTTATAAATCAGAATTAAAGAAAATTTGGAGAATATTCCAAGGCATTCACCCTCCACATTTTATTAAATAAAGAGGACAAAAGATATCCAATCAAGCATTCACTGTCATGTATCAATCAATCCATTTAGAGTCATGTAATCAATTAAGATTGCAGTCCTCCACTTGCAATATATTTAACAGAAAAAATTGAGACATTGGAAAACATGATTTAGGTAAACAGGTAGAAAATCAAAGTAAGCATATCCAACCAAGAGGTGTTAATATGAATGAAATCAGACATCTAAAACAAAAGTCACACTAAGGCAGTTATTTTACCTCACAGTCATGAGCAGAAACAAGGCTAGAAAATATCAAGTACCGAATCTGAGCATTGTCTTTCAGAAAATCAGCCCAACAACCTAACAAAACCAAAGCCAGTGCCTTCGACTCCAAATCCCCACTATCAAAAACAGATTTTACTCTCGTTAACAACTCCAAGTGATTAGCTACTCTGGCCTGTGAAAGCAACCCTTTGCATTGATTTTTCTTCTCCTTATTGCGATGTTTCCGTTCAGACAAGAAAACCCTAACAACCGCAAGTCTGGTTCTCTCTTCTCCTCCCCTAAGCTCAGCAAGGCGCAAGAGATAGCATTGGCAAATTATTCTATCTTTCGCCTGGAACAAGACCAAACATAGCATAGGGAGCAATGCCAGATTCAGGTTCTCTACTCCATTGCAAAGGCGAGGCTCCATTTCCAATAGGTGCTTTTGACGGAGCACCTGACAGTGATGAATTTCAAAAATCATAAAAACAAAGCAAACAAATGAACACAAAAAACTATAACAATTTTAACTTTAAGGCTTTGTAAGGAACGATAATACACAGTGAATGAGGCATTATTTGAATAGTCACCATTGTTAGTATAGCCCAAATTTCAAAGGAATATAAAAGAGAATATAATGATGGGAAAAAAAAGGATGAAAGAAAATAATTAAATAACCAGGTTTTGCAGAACGGAGGCCCATTTCAAGTTGAATGCTCCATTCCATGGCACGAGCACCACAAGTTGGTTCCATGGCTAATTCTCTTCTCCAGGCCAACGGTGCCTAACTACAGAGGACAAATTGCAACCTCGGAATAATCGTTGTTTCAAGAAGTTTTAATTGACAATTTCCCATTAACAATTTTGAAAATCTAAAACATTAAAATAATTTGCAAATTGATCCTAAAATTTTCCCATAAAGCTATTATCCCCCTCCTAAAGGATGTCACGTTCAATCCATACCTGATAATTTAAGCTGGAAGGAAATAGTAGACAAGAAAGGCAGCAACAGATGATAATCCTTCTATAATCTATCCTGTTAAACCTTCATGAAACAACACAAATGCAATTGGCTTTTGGAATTCATATACCCAACAAAACCAACCCTTCCTTCAGTTAACTATACTTCCTTCTTTGCGAATTTCAGTAATAAATTTCGCAGTTTGAACAATGGAAAGTACCCTGTTAATGTGCCTCGGAAAGTTACAGGAGTTTCTTCTTCATGATAGGTCTCGGGAGCATTTTGTGTCCTAGAAACCAAACATGTGAAGGACCTAATAAGAGGACAAAATTCGTTGCTTCCATGAACAACATATCTTTCAATCTCTCTTCAGTGGCAATTCTTGAACAACATTTCTTAGAGAAGGATAGCGAGGTGTTGTGCCTCCTTTTGCAATATGTGCAAGAGCGTGGAGGTGTAGGGGTGTAAAGAGATTTAGGGTTTTAAAAAAATAAATAAAATTAAATGGTAAAAATTAAATTAATATAAGGTATTTTTAGAATAAAAAAAATAATGGAAGGTGTATACTAGATCATTTAAAGGGTGCATTTTTATTATTTCTTTTGTTTTGATTCTTACTTTTTTTGGTTTTGTTTTCTGGGCAGGTGTCCTTTACACATATTATTCTTATAAGTTTGTTATAAAAAATAAAATAAGAATTATAAAATAAAAAGATAAAAAAAATAGAAAATGCAAAAAAAGAGTAAAACTACAAAATTGTAAAAATAGTTTTAATTTTTTTTTTAACACTTAATATCTTTTAATAACTAAATGCACAGCTTTAATTTATTTTCTAATTTAGACTTTCTTAAAAAGATACGTATGCAAATATTAATTTTTATTTTATTTTAGTACTTAGATAAATATCATTATTGCTTCATATAAACCCTTATGCAAATACAATTATTTTTATAATTTTATTTTAAATATTTATGTAAATATTATTTTCATAATAAAAATTACAAAAGGAAAATTACAAAGTAAAAAATGAAAATAATAAAAAATTAAATAAGAGTATGAGTAGGATTATCATCTAGTATTTAATTCCTTCAATCTAAAAATTAAATAATGGTATAATTATTATGTAACAACTACATAATTTTTGATTATCCGTTAAGAGTAGAAATAAATAAGAGCATCTTATCAAATTCACTTTCCAAAAATCTAAATTTTTCTATAATCATTTTTAAACAAAAACAAACTTTCCAAACAGTTTGTTCAAGAACTACTTAATATTTTAAATGAGAATAGATCGGCCCAAAAAACTAAAAGATATATTTTGTTATTTTAGAGTATCGTTTTGGGAGATAATTGAACATTTTAAAAAGCATATCACTATAGCTTCACGTATTTAATTAAGGGTGATAGGATACTAATATCTTTAGTACGCGTAACATATTACTTCCGAACATAGAATATGATTTTTTGCATAGCATGTCTATTTTCATAGTTTTTTAATATTTTTTAAAAATAAATTATGGTGATGAGTTCAAAATCTTTTTTTTTCTAAACTTTTTCTTTTTCATCTTTTCATCACGATTCTAATTTGCGACACCCGTCTAATGTGTCAATGTAGTTCATGCAAGCTGTAAACATGTCTGGGTTGTGGTCTGACCAAGGTGTCGTCAGACTGGGTTGATGAGTTGTTAAGTGTCGGGTTGTTTATCTTTACTTCGTAAGCTTGAACCAATTCGATCATTGTTGGTGGAGCTCGGATGTTGTTTATGAAGCTTGATCTTCATATGGGAGGTGCTCGAATGTTGTTGGTGGAACTCAGTCTTTATCTAGGAAGAGCTAAGATGTTGTTGGTGGAGCTCGACCAATACTTATATATAACTCGGTCTTTCTCATATTAGCTCGGAAGATATCATCAAATATTTGAGTTCGGTGTTCATACCTAACTAAATAAATTTCATACTATTAAATAATATAATTCGTTGTCTCCGATGATACCATTTTCATGTTTGATTCTGTTGCTTTATTTTCAAGTTATAACAAACATATTATCTTTTTGCTTATTCTTTTTTTTTACTCTGATATTTGATGAAGTTGATTGGAAGATATATAATGTAACATCCAAAATACAGTTAAATACTATAAATCAGAATTAATTACAATTAACAGTAAATCAATGCAGTCTTAATATTAAAAGATCAAGGTTCAAAGCCGAACGGCTTAATACAGGAATAACGAGCACCAAAACGAAAACAGGGATAATCTAGAACGAACGGTTTTACAAAATAATTAACCGAACGTCAAAAATGGAACTAACATTTACAATCCTAATCTAAACGAGCGCTCTAGGGCTCAGCCTTGACTTCCACCTCGACCAGATTTTCTTCTTCAATGATGTCCTCCAGAGTGGCCTCACCTTCTACTCACATCCACACGGATGATCATTGCAAGACAGGACGAACGTACATATACAATGGACAACACAAGGAAAACGAAAGGGTAAGCTTATATGATTTAATTCATACAATCAACAAGACATTTATCACTTACAATTCATACACAGCACATAACTTAACATAGAAAATACATATATAGATAGATATACTAGACAGACCGTCCGGACTGTATGAACCGTGTAGCTACAGGCGTCCTTACACCCGAGTGATGTAGTAACTGGGATACACTCAACAGCTGCCACTCGAGGTTAGCTCTATCCAAAGTACCCCTAAGGAATAGAACCTCCTGTCAATATCCCACACATGACTACTCTCCTCTACTTGAAGATGAGCATCACTGATTACAGGATGGACCAAGCCAGCATAGCAATACCACGCAGTAGCTTTACCAATCCAATATTAACATATATGAGAGTTCCTCTCCCCTGGAACGCATCGTCCAAAATCCAATATCATAATATCGCTCCATATAGCGTTCACACTTTAAATTATCATAATTCATCATCATTTACATTTTTAGATTTAAGAGCATAAAATGACGAACGCTCAGTCCTCTGAAGAATTAGGACGAACGTCCAGATAAATGTACTGGATGAACGGGAAATATATAACGAACGTGACTATCTGTTGGGTCAGTTAAATGAACTAACTCGGTTGGAGGTATATTGGTACTTAGAAAAATTTCATAATAAAGACCTTGGACCAGATCTAATGTAAGAAGGAAGATCAAGAATACTTGGAATTATCTTTGTAGAATTTTGCATATGGAAGACCGATGCCAGTAATTGAACGAACGTAAGGAGAAATGAATATTTTAATACTTGAACGAACGCTATTTTATCCAAGTGGTTATTCCATAATACGGGCGCTTGGTATGAGACCAAACACCGCTTATGAGAACGCTAGGTAGATGACCGAAGCACCAATTAGACGAACGCTTGGTATAAGACCGAGCGCTATTTAGGACGAACCTTGGAATAAGACGAGCGCTATTTAGACGAACGCTTGGTTATAAGACCGAGCGCTATTTAGAACGAACGCTTGGTATAAGACCGAGCGCTATTTAGAACGAACGCTTGGTATAAGACCGAGCGTTACTTATTTTAAGGTGTAATTTAATAATATTTAATTCAAGGTATACGACATCTCTATGTTGAACCGAACGCTCAACATAGTAATTCAAAAGGGGACGCTCGTTCTCGGATAGAATTCTTTCCGAATGAAAGAATTCCATTCTAAGTCATTTTCAGGGAAACCGAACGGTATAAGACCGTACGATGACGAACGTATTTTATCATAGGGAATTATCATATTCAGATTTGTTCAACTATAACAGATTTCCAGATTTTAACATTTCAGTTTATACTTTATACTTCATATAAATATCAATTCATCAACTTTATAACATTCATTTCAAATAATTCATATTCAATCATCATCATACAGATTTAATTCATACACCAAAATATCCAGGATCATACTCATACATCTCAGTCATCATCTTTCATGCATTCATACTCATACTGTATACATACATTCATTCATAAATCAACAGGCATTCTTTTTCATCAATCATACAATCAAAATACGAATTAAATATATAAGCTTCCCTTACCCGGATTTGTACGCACTTGTCCTAAACTCAAGATTTTTGGCTTCGTCCAACTACTGTTTGTCTACCCTCAACGGTCACTTAATTTTCTTCAACTAAATCTAACCAAAGAAACGCAGAACATCAGCTTATACCCTTGCATGCAACTGAATCTGGGTTCGCAGGAAATCCATAAACGAACGCCTAGGTTGGAAAACTTACCGGTTACGGAATCGAAAGTGGTTCGGTCCAAAACGAAGCTCACGGCGTAGTGAACGTTCCTACGGTTCTGAATGTTGAACGGAGAAGAAGAGAATGAGTAACAGTAGAGAGAAGTTGAAGCTTCTAGAGAGAAGATGGAGAAAGTGAAAGGTTGGTTTCTGAGGAAGAAGATGAGTGCGTGCAGGTGAGTGAGAGGGTTTTTCGAAAATTATTTTTGTTCCTTCCAAGTCCAGACGAACGAGCGTCTTCTCTGCTGACACCTGCACCCCCACTTCTGATTTCAGAAGCTTCCAACGTGACAAGTGGCGCTCGTGCATGCAGTGCTTGGTGCGTTTTTAATGGCTCTGCGAATGACGTGATGTGCATTAATTGCGATTTGACAGCTAATTTGGAGAGTTAATTTTCGAGGCCTTACATATAACAACTTAAGGTATAATAACCTCTTCTGTATCTTTTTTTTTTTTTTTTATCTCATAGCATTTGGTTACTTACTTAAAATATGATTCTTGTACCATGTATGCAGATGTACTGATAAGAACTCCGAAAGGATAATATATATATATATTATAATATCTATCATATATAATATATATATATATATATATATCTATAAATTTAGAAAATAACTAAATTCAGCTTTGAAGAAAATACGCAGTATAGATATAAATACAATTAAACTTTATAAGCTAACAAAAAGTCAGATTTGAAGAAACAAACATATTAGCAAAAATGGTTGTTTAGTACCACAGGCTATGGATTTTTAACTTATTCGACCCATTTTTCAATCGAATTGGACGTTTAAAGTTTTTTTTTGTGAATAAAAAAGCATTTTTTTTTTCTATTTAAGTCAATTCAGTTTAATATTATTTAACTCGATCTTTACTTGATAAAATTTACTTATAAAGGAAAAATATGTTTTTTAATCAATTTTTGAGATGATGTAATTTCACTAAAATTAAATATATTTTTTGTTCTGAAATTATTTGCAAAAGTGATTTTTTTTAAAATTGAATTATATATATATTTCATTTTTTTTAACTTCATAAAAGTGAAACATCATCATAAGTTATGTGTGAAAGTTAAATTAGTCCACTGTATAAAATTCTGATTCTCATTCCGAAAATATTTCTGTTTGCTAATATTTCATTGTTTTCATAAATTA